TGGTCGGCCGTCATCTGCTGGGCGGAGCTCCAAGCTTCGTAATAGCACGACTGTATTTTCGTAATGTTATGACTTCATTCTCGTAATTTTACGACTTTATTCTTGAAATAGGAGAAAAAAAATCGATAGCCTGGCCCTACTGCTCCATCGTAGGAATCTTGGGTGAAATTAGCATTTTTATTTTGTTTGGCTAAATCCGCTCATCAAAGAGTACCAAAAAACAGTAAAAGAAGTTTACATTATATGTTTACAAGTACAGTCCTAAAATGTTTTTTTCTTGTTGTTTTAATTTTGAGCAAGATATTCAATAAAACTGGATGCAAAGTACAGAATTTCCTGTCGTGATAAATGAAAATGGTCTCACATAATGCGCTTATGTTAATGTTGTATTTGTTGTGGAGCTACTTACTGAATGTAAATGTTAACTGTTTGTATGTTTGTTAAAAGGTATTGGTGATTCTTAAAAACATGTCAGCATGTGATTGAGCTGTACGGGTTTTAGATCATTGAAAGGAAGGTCGGCTCTCGGGTTTGTCAATGATTACTGTCCAATTTCTCAAATGGGAATTGTGGAAGTTTGAGATTCAACACAATAAAAAAAGTTTTTTCTTTTTTCTAAATTTTGGGGCATTCTATTTTTTTGTCAGTGATTTTTGTATGTATTCTGACTGAATTATTAAACAAACGTGATCTTAACTGTACTAATTTAAAAGTCTTGTTGGTTGAGACAAAGTTACAGGAAAGTAATCCCTCCCTGGGATAATTAAAGTATTTCTGATTCCTGGTTGATGGGACAGGTGTTGTGAATGAAACGGTGCCCAGCTTGAAAGAGCTCCTGTGTGTCTCTGAATGTGAGCATTGATGACTGAAAGACATCTTCTGCCTCCATTTATCTGTTTACTACAGTCTGTTCAATTCATGTTCATGTGGATTTAAAGACATTTCAATTAGTGGAAAAAAATGCAGGAGGGAATAAAAAAAAAATCTAATCAACCAAAACTTTGGCGACCCCCATGCAGTACCTCTGTAGCCCCCTAGGGGTCGCGAACCCCCTGATGAAGACCAGATTTTAAAATGGAAAATTTTAATTTTTGTAATATTTTTTAAAAAATCCAATATATAACATGGAAGCATAAACACCTCATTTTATTTTTAGAGTTAAATTTTGTTTAAAGTA